GAAGGGAAAAAAAAAAAAAAAAAAAAAAAAAAAAAAAAAAGATAATTCTGCTCAGTCACACACAGTATTTTCATTTCATAACTGTCTCCAGCCAGCACCATGGCAACCTGGGGAAAATCCTAATGCTATTATTGTGTAAGCTGGGACTGTTTGTTCTGAGGGACACAAGCTCTTAATTACACCGGATAGCTCCATTCTTTCCCCTCCACTTTCTTCTTGCCAAACTACTTCCGGCCAAAACGCGTACTTGAGAGTCAATGGGCCGCCGAGCCCCTGCCAACAGCCCCCAGCCCCTGCCAACAGCCCCCTCCGCAGCGGGGGCAGCGCCAGGGACCGGCACCCAACCCCAGGCATCCGACTGAAACGTCACATCTGGAGAACTGGGAACATCCCCCCTGGGGTAACTGGGGAAGGAGGTAACTGGGAAGGGGTGAGGAGAGGTCTCTTCCTCAAATACCATCCTTCTGCCATGAGAAGGGAGAAGTGGCATCCTTTCTCCAGAGCAGCCGAGGGCGGCCGCTTCTTCCACCTGGCGAGGGACTGCGAATCCTGCACCTGCCCTCTCACCTTCGAGGCTCTTGGGCTCGTGGTCCAGTGTGCGCGTTTTGCAGCGGAGGTGCTCCCCCGTCCCATCGATCCAGATGTACATGGCCTGGACCTTCTCCCCCTGGGGCAGCTTCATGTACATGTGCTTGATAGCTTTGCTCAGGTGGGAGCTCGCTGAGGTGGCCATGGCTGCAGACCGGACAAGGGGGTTCCTGCAGGAAGGATACAAAAGCCAACCCCAACTGTGAGCCCTTTCCTGCACTCCCACATTTTTCACCCCCCAGCCAGGGAGGAGCACAAGGCAGCTCAGCCATGGAGCCGGCTGCCATCTCCAGAGGTCCCATGCCGTTCTGCAGGCAGAAAACACAGCAGCACAGGCAGGCAGCTAGGAAAGCCCTGCTCCAGGAGCGATGCCTTCAAAGCATCCCATTAATACGCAACCTCCTGCCCACGTCCTGGCAATTAAACTAGGTCTTATCTACCAAGCAACAGCCTTCAAAAGTGCTCCTCGGTCTTGCGTGAACTTTTCACCTCCACACCCACCACCGCTCCGGAGCAAGGCTAACGCAGAGGAAAGCTTAGCTGGGGCTTTCTTAATCTACTTGCTCCAGAAAGGAGGGCTTGGCAGCCCCGGCCGCCGTCTAAGATCAGCTGGTCTGAAGTTAACAAGCCCGGACTAGGGCAGGAGACAGCACAAAAGCAAGCAACAGGCAGCGCAAGCAACCGCTGAGCAGCCCGGGCAGCA